GACACCTTTTTTCAGGAAGTTATGATTTCATATCAGTAAACTATTATCATTCGTTAAATGTTACCGCTATGACAGAAGCAGATATATTTGATCCAAATAATGATTTAAAAACAATTGATCAAAGGGCTATAACACCTAGTTGGGACGAAAAAGAAGAGTTAGAAGACGTAAGATAATAATAATTTTTTTTTAATAACTTGAACTCAATTAATATTTTTTTTATAGACAGTATTGGGATTTAGAAATGTAATGCAGTATTTAAATGATACATTTGGAAAAATTTCTGATATAAGAGAACCCAAATTTTTCATTTCTGAAAATGGGTTGGCTGATGATAGTGAAAATAATAAAAATAAAATTGAATATCATCAGGTAAATATCATGAAAAATACGTGGATTAGTTATTGTTAGAACATAAATTATAATTATATATAAAGTAATATCCTAAATTACTATCATTATTGTGTTATCATGTTATATTTATTACTATAGTATTCAATAGTATTAATTAGTAATACTAATTTAATATACTAAGTTTAATAGTGTTCATAAATATTAAAATTAATTTTATTATAATTCCTAAAAAGTCTTTAATTACACAATAATAATAAAAAAGAGTCGGCATATGTTGAGGGTTAATAATGGTATCATTGTTTCCCAAAAATGTATTCACGAATTTTTAGTAATTTTTGTAGTTTTTAAGTTAAATATTATTTATTTATTTTTTAATTTTAAATTAATATTTATAATATATTTTTGATTTTAAAAAGTCTTTTCATTTTTTATAAATTGAAAATATTTTTAGGCGATTCTTACCGAAACAAAAAATTTGATTGATGATGGTGTTAATATAATTGGGTATAGCGTTTGGTCGCTAATGGATTCTTTTGAGTGGGTCAGTCCTAGGTAAGCTAAATTAAAAAAATTAAATAATAATAAAAACTGTTCATTGTTAAATTTTAATTATTAAAATATATATACGGTTTATTTTTTTAGCACTAGCAAGTATGGAATTTATAAAGTTGATTTTAGAGATCCTGATCGACCTCGCACAAAAAAGCCATGTGTGGAGTATTTTAAATATGTTTTTCAAAACAAGACTTTACCAGATATTTCTACAATTCCAGATTTTTCATATAAGAATATAAATTCTTTGATTTAAAATCAAAAAAATGATCGCCTAAATCCTTAGATTACTTTTTGTTTATTTTTCATACTATTTTATTTTATGTAATTTAAAATTATTGTGTTGGATAATGAGGTATAATAATATATTTTAAATCTAATAATAGTTTCTTTATTATTAAATATGTGTTATACAAGATTATATTTAGATGAATATTGAAATTTACTCAAACATCATTGAATTATGATAATTTTATTTTTAAATGNAGATGAATATTGAAATTTACTCAAACATCATTGAATTATGATAATTTTATTTTTAAATGGATTGCAGAGGGTTTCAGTTCTTAGATTAAGATGTTGCAGTGTATACAAATGAAAATTAATAAATTTATCATTTATTGATAATCTATTGAACAAAATAATGTTCATTAAACTTGTAAAAATTTGTCCATAATAAAATATTCATCATAGTTCTTTATATTTACTATTTGCTTAATTAAACATATGATATCTAAAATTATGGCATTTGTGTTTTCTTTAAATAATGCTTTTTTTATCCTATCAATTATTTAGAGCTATTAAAGTGAAGGTGATAAATTGTAAGTTTGGGTGCAAGAAGGGCATTTCCTAAAAATATATATTTTAAATATTATTTTTATATAAATTAGTTTAAAGATTCAAATGTAGGTCACTTTTTCTGTTTTGCTTATATGGTAATAATATTACCATCATTTTACAGATTGAGTCTCAAATAAAATAATCATATTATAGTATTGTTTCTATTAGTGTTAATAAAGTTATAAATAAATAATATATTTGAAAATAAAAATGTCTTTCTTGCATTAGGTAGTATTTACCTATGTTGTTTTAATTTAAAAGATTAAAAAACAATAATTTTACAGTAAAAAACGTCATAAAAAATATTTATTTATTTCCACACATTACTTTAATATGTCATCTGACTGTTCCTCAATTTTTTCTTGATTCATATAATATCATTATATGTATCAACTTATTATATTATATACGACTTCAGGCCCGTGCGCAGGATTTGACAATGGGGGGGGGTTTAAAAAAGATTTATATTTAATAGATAAATCAATAACTACCTAATATTATATACTATATATTTATAATATAAATAAATCATGATAAAACTATAAAATTAAAAATTATTTTTTTAATAAATTTAATCTACGATGAGTAGAAAAGAATTCGTTTAATACTTCGTTGAT